GAAGGTGAGCATCATGGAATCTGGCTGTACTTCTTTCAAGACAAATTTGTTTGTTTTTCTAGAAGTCATGGTATATTTCATATTCTCCACTAACTCCATAATTCAAATGCATCAACTCTTCTATCTCTTTTATTCATTGCCCTCTTTTCACATGCATAAGAAGTGGTTAAAAATACGCTGGCTAAGTCAGGATGCAGTATAGCACCGATGGAACATATACAACTTTCCTCTAGTTATTTAATGCTCCAACCCCCCCTCTCCCCGCCACACACACAGTATCATGACCCCAATTCTACCTTACAAATCTGGCTAGACCAGAGCATGTACACGGGTACAGATAAGAGCTGGAAACACAGGGAATCCAGGACAGATTAAACCCCTCAGGACCAATAATGAGAGTAGTGATACCAGGAGGGTTAAGGAGAAGGTAGGGGGAGAAAGGGTAACTGATCACAATGATCGACATATAATTCCCTCTCAGGGGGACAAACAACAGAAAAGTGGGTGAAGGGAGGCATTGGCCAGTATAAGACATGAAAAAAAAATTTATAAATTATAAAGGGCTCATGAGGGTGAGGGTAAAGAATGAGGAGCTGATGCCAAGAGCTCCTTGGCATTTAGAAATAAAATGTTTTGAAAATGATGATGGGAACTTATGTAAAAATCTGTTTAACAGAGTGGATGTGTGGATGGATTATGATAAAGGCTATACGAAACCCCGATATTTTGAAAAAGAAAATGTGCTGGCTTGGATCAGACTCACCTTACTCTGCAAAGTTACATTTTTGCTCCTTAACCTTTGAAATAGATCTTGTGCACCAAATAAGACCAACTTGTGCAACATAACTGTGGGTGTTTTTATTTCTTTTAGGATGGTTTTGTTGTCAGAATATTTGCCACAAGCACGGAACCTGTGCTACAACAAGAATTACAACTGAAACTGGCCAGAAAATGCTTACATGCCTGTGGTATCTCACTATTTGATTTGGAAAAGGACTTGCATATTATAAGTAAGATGGCAAAATAAGCCTTTCCCAAAGAATGTTGACATAATGTAAAAAAATGTAGTCAATGTCATTGAACAATGTGTATAGAAATTGTTTAATGGGAACCTAATTTACTATGTAAACTCTCACCAAAACACAATAAAAATATATTTTTAATAAAATTAAAAAATTGTTGGATATAAAATCTCTGTAAACCATCACATAATTCACAATAAGTTCTTTTAAATCAGGGGAAAAATAAGCCTTCCCCTTACATTTAAGTTTTCATATTCTTCATTCTTTAGACAACTAATGCTGTGACTTCTACAGTGTAGCTTATCTTTTTTAGCAGCTGTGTTGATGTCTGTGACTGTACAGCACAATCATGAATCGCTATGTGTGATAGCTAGGGAAAAATAGTTCCTTAAATAGTAGACTAGAAGACCATTGTAAGGTGTTGCCTAATTTACCATTTTTATTTTGAATAGTCCAAAGGAAAATGATACTTAAGAATTGTGCGTGGGCAACTCAGTGGACGTTGTTAGTTTATACAACCCTGTTTACTCAGTTAAACTGTTACAAACTTCTATTTAAAATGTCACTACGATAATAATTCTCTCATTCATGTCTTTAAGTTTCATTTGAATATATTACCAGTATATCCATGGAATAATTCCATTGGTTGTGAAAATGGTAACATGTTGATTAATAATCTGTCCTTTGGATAAGAGAGACCTGTCCTTGCACAGAGTATTTCTGGGCCATAGTGTCTATGTTCATATAATCAGCACCCCTGAGTCCCCATGAAGGTCTCAGACTCTGGTCTCAGTTGTGTCCCAGACTTCCCAGTACCATGCTATTAACGGATAGAATTTTTTGCAAGATCCATCTTTTTCGGTTGCCCTTTCTTTAAATTTAACTAACGACATTATTGCTTTACTTGGCATATTTTAATTTTTTTATTCCCCTGTAGAAAACATTGAAATTGAGATGATGATTTTAAAATTTAAAAAGCTTATACAATTGTTAATAGATTGTATCATTGTACAAGATCATAAATTGTGCTCCATATAAAATTATAATTGATTCAGTTTTGTAATTTTTTAAATGCGTAAGTCTGTATGTGTATATTCATATGTAACTGATTCATAGTGTGGCTACATGAAATGTCCTTTTGTAGAAAACCACTCGGAATAAAGCATCACAAATGTGTGTTCAAATAGCTACATGACATTCTTCAAGTCCCCCAAATGACCCTGTGTCTCCACCAGAGTCACCAACCTTTACATCGTGTTCCTGTGGGAATGGGCCAAATAGTTGTGAGGTTTAAATGAGATATGATTCATGAACTTTCTATTCCCGGGTTCCTAAACAATACTTAATTAAGGGTCATTTATTCATTCAAGGAATACTGTGGATGCTGAATTTTTAAGTGTTTTGTTTACATTAAAAATAATTTGTAGTTTGGGACAAATGGTGTAACTTAAGATAACTTTACCTTTCTTTGGAGTAGTGCAGTACTTTTTATTGTTAAGTGTTTTTGCGTGGTAAGCAGACATGACATATATCATGTCATCCTTACCTTCGAGTGATACTGACTTCTTAATCACCTGAGTTAATGCATGCTATGCTTGAAATTATTCACATGAAGAATGCTGTCGCATTTATTGGTCTCATTGTATACTAGGTACGGGATTTGACGAGGAGTCAGCAATTCTTGGTGCAGGACGAGAGTTTGCTTTAATGAAAACAGCAAATGGAAAGGTAAACTACTCTCTTTTTCATAAAATTAACATTTTCTGCTTTAAGAGACAGTATAGTTAGCTGGTTGGTTTACAGTTAACATTTAAAATGAAATCATCTTTTAAAAAATTTCCCATTAAGGATTTTCTTTTTTATATTCTTAAGATAGTATGAGATAAAATTATGACATTTGACTATAAGCTGTAAAATACTATACTTCAAAATATATCTTTTATTAATAATTTAAATTTGTAATTTTTTGAGTCAGGATAAATTCACATTTTGTGTTTACTTTGGTAAATAGTATGTTTATTATACATTTCTGTACTTGGGAATGCGTAGAAATGCACAGATTAAAAATTGGCAAAAATAGGAGCTTGGACATTTTATACTGCAGAATTTAATTTTGGGGGAATGGATGTTTTGTATCTTGTGGATGTGAGGATAAAGTGAGATAATTTATATTATTCTGAAAATTAAAATTACTAGGCAAATATAGCATGTTTGTAAGTCAGGATTTTTACAATTTGAAAAAATGAATTGAGAAGTGTATGCTTTTCCGAAAGCAGTGAGTGTATTTGTGGAAAGGAATATAAATTTGAAAAAGTTGTTGGTTCTGATCGAACAAACTGTTATGAACTCTGTGTGTTTTAATGTATTCATTTCTCTCTGTTCAGTTTGCAGAAATAAAATAGTGTATAGTAAAAAGGGATTGTGTCCTTGTATTTTTTGTTTTTTTTGATAAATTACTGAATGTCTTTTCCTTTTGTAGGAAAAACCTATTGTACTGTCGGTTCAAAAAGCATTGTATGTAATTCCTTTCTCTCTTTTAATATACAAGATATATTATACTGGCAAATACCAGAGTCTTGGGATTAAGCAAGGTGGTCCTTCAGCAGGAAAATGGGTTGAGCTACCAATTACAAAATCTCCGAAGATCGTTCACTTTTCAGTTGGACACGATGGTTCTCATGCCCTTTTAGTAGCAGAGGATGGAAGCATATTCTTCACAGGCTCTGCTAGTAAAGGAGAAGATGGAGAGTCAAGTAAGTTGGCTGATCACTGGGCACTCAGTCATAATACTCTGGAGTGTCTCTCACATTCGACCCAGCCCACCAAGCCCCTTGCTGTCAAGTTGGTACTAGGAAGCAACCTCTTCATTTCACTCAAACACTGACCTCATCAAATATAAATAGAAGATTTGTACATTGGGATATATTTATTTATTTAAATTTTTAAATTTTATTGGGGGCTCTTACAGCTCTTACCATAGCCCATACATACATCCATCATGTCAAACACATCTGACATATGTTGTCATCTTTTCAAAACATGTTCTTTCTACTTGAGCTTTTGGTATCGGCTCATTATTTTTTCCTCCCTCCTCCACCCTCCCTCCCCCAAGAATATATTTATTTAATGGTGGTAGTATACTGTTCATTAAAGAACTATGGTTGCCAATTTTATTTTGAAATATGTATTCATGGCCTTTTATATGCCTTATGGATACATGGCTATTCATATGAGACTATGCCAGTATCTAATGGAACAATGATTTATTCCATTAGATTATTTTAGGAAACTAAACTTTTCAAGGGATGTATATTTCAGAATGAAGGCAAACTGTGCAGCCTTGTGTAAGAGGGTCAGCTGTAGATCACTGTTCTTGGGTCTTTTTTCTGTAAAAACAATAGTCATAATGGAAAAATAATTTCAATCTCTTACATACTTTCAGATTGCCCCTCAGAGTATTATTTCTCCTTTCATTTGTAACTTTTCTTGTGCTTGATAGCACTGTAGAGTAGCACCTTTATGGGGATTAGGTTTTAGAAGTAAATGCCTTAAGGCAAAAATTATGTCTCAATAAAATTTACCCGGGGAAAATCCCTTCAGAGACTCATGAAGTGCCTTGGTATCTCTCAGGTACTTCAGTACACTCAGGCCCCTTGCTCCCAGTGCTTTTCTTTGGTTGAGCAGCGGCTACAAGGCACCGTGTGTATGGATCCTGCTGTCTGAAAAATACATGTTGGTATCTTTAAACACCAGAATTATACCCAGCACAGCACTGTTTTTATTCCAAAAGGTTTGCAGGTTTTATCACAAAAGAATCAGCAGATTGATGTCTCCTGTCTTTTTGTTCATTCTTGGGACTTAAGGACCTTGTAAGCAGGGGTGCTCAAACCACCCACATTTCAATTTATTCTCTTCTTCTCCAAATGTGCCTCTCCTACCCTCCTAGCGCCTTTATAGCCTCTCATTGGCCTACTATGGATGTTTAGTAACTGTGTGGTATGAATGTGGGCTCTAGCTTGAGCGTATGTGTCGAGTTTGAAGAAAAGGGAAATATATATTTCCCTATGTATATATCATTCACACATACTTCCCCACGTCATTCATACATAATATAAATCATTCACATATATATGAATATGATAGTTCAATGGTATTGATAGTGTGAATAGCTAAGCAGAGACTACCCTGGAAGTTAGGTAGAAATTTGGTGTCTCCCATTGGAATTTCAGTGTGCTGAAAAGAAATCTGATCTTAGCCAAATGAGGCTTGTAGGTTGGTTGACTACTTATAATTGGCATATTGGGAAGGACAGGCTTCCCAATGCAAATAACATCCTCTTCTCCTTCCCCCGGTGGGGCTTTATATGGAAACTGCTATTTATACATAAGTCAGTTTCTGTCCAGTTGATTCCAACAGACAGGTCTTCACATGTGTGAGAATAGAACTGTGCCCCATAGAATTGCAGTGGTTGGTTTTTCTGAAGTGCAGAATCGGCAGGCTTTTCCCCCCAAGGAACTCTGGGAGGACTCAAACTTCCAACCCTTCGTTTAGTAACTGAACACATGAACTGTTTGTGCTACCCAGTGACCCCAATTATCTGTACACATAAGTATTAAATTCTTTTTCTTTCTTTGTCTTTTAAGCCAAGAGCAGAAGGCAGTCAAAACCCTATAAGCCTAAAAAGATAATTAAAATGGAAGGAAAGATTGTGGTCTATACAGCCTGCAATAATGGAAGTAGTTCTGTTATTTCTAAGGATGGAGAACTATACATGTTTGGAAAAGATGCCATTTACTCTGATAGTTCAAGTAAGTTAAAATAAAATGTTACATTTTATGGAAACAAAAAGACCAATACTAATCGTTGTGTATTGTAAAGATAAGGCTGAAAATCAATACTTGAGCATATCTTTGTTCTTTAGTATTTTTCCCAGCCACATTTTTTGGTGCTTTCCTAACGGCATGTAAGGGCTCAAACCATGTCAGGTCATTCGATAGCTGTCACCGTACATCTTTGCAATTATGTCAAATACTGAAAATGGAAGTTTTGAAGTGTATTTAATGGAAAGCCCGAGGCTACTAAAGGGTCCAAGACCACCTTAAAGGAAGAATAACTTAAATCTAAGTTAATAATGGAGAACAGTATCCCCAGTGTGATACAAGATTGATATTTGAAATTTAAATAAAACAAGTTGCTTTGATTTTTAAAAAACTATTTAAGTTGGTATATTAAATACCTACTTGAAAAAATGTGACTGATTTTTTCTGCCATTACTACTTTCGACAAGATTAAATGTGTTTCAGTCAACTTAAAGTTGATGCAAAAAATATGTTAATATGGGTGGCACTTGATAGAACAGGCCGTAGGGGAAGTTAGGAGATAGCTATGTGTTGGATTGTGGCTGAACGCATTGTAGGTTCAAAAAAGACAGAAAAGCATTATTTTGGGAAATTTCATAGGTTCCTATAAAACTAATGTCACTTCAGTATACTGAGACAAGTATTTTACTGTGTTTGGGAGAGACAGATTAGTGCAGGTAAAGTAGATAATTTATGGGATCCGTGTGCCAGGCCACCATAGTCTGAGGACCACTAATTCTTCTGAGCATTGCTGAGAAACTGACCTTACAACAGGGCTTGGGGGCAGTAAGCTTGACCGTATGCCACAGTGAAGATTGATCCCAAGTCTGGGTGGTAGCATTGTGAGGTTCATTCAAGCTATACAATACAAGTTTGTGGCAGCTTTTCTAGTCTTTTGGCTACTCACCTCTCACTCTGTCATTTATTTATTTATTTTGGTCCCAGAATTGAGGAGTTTTGTACTTGAGTGCTCTTCTTATTCCACTGACTATTTTTCCATGGATTCCTACTAAATGCGTATCTTTCCTATAGGTTTGGTAACTGATTTGAAGGGCCACTTTGTGACTCAGGTAGCAATGGGCAAAGCTCATACTTGTGTTTTAATGAAGAGCGGAGAAGTGTGGACATTTGGTGTGAACAATAAAGGGCAGTGTGGACGAGACACAGGCGCCATGAACCAAGGAGGGAAAGGTAATTGATGGCCATTAAAATTCACGCGGTCTTTGCTTTTACTTCCGAGGAATGTGTGTTAGAGTTCTGCCTTTTCAGACTAAGAGACTCTGGTCTCCTATGTACACGTAAGGAAGAATATTGAATTTCACACTTGTTTGTCAATAGTCATTGAGAAAGGTGTATTACTGGAAAATTCAAATGCTTTAGATTTTCAGTCCTTGAGCAAAGGAACCTGCTTATTATATGATTCCCCCCCCCCCATTCTTTACAAAGCGTAATAGTGCCTCTCTGATTTAGCATTCTTGGTGACTAAATTATTCTGAAAAGTGTTTTCAAACACGTAATTAGCTTCCTTTGTTCCACACATTTTCTGTTTGCCATTTTTCACAGCAGTCATATCTGGCACACACTTTTCCTGCTTCCCTGAATGTACTACCGTTAACTTAATCTGTTTTGACAGTTGAGAATGATCCTTAGGAATATCTGAATATTTCACCAAGAAATGATTACATTATAGATTCACCTTCTTTACATTATCTGGTGCCCAAATCCTCAGGCTATTGAAGTAAAGAAAGGGGCTCATCTTCTGACTCCTCTCTTACTGGGATCATTAGGGGGAAATATGTGTCTGTTTGTTTCTTGCTTTCAATTTCCACTTTTAGCTCCTATTAATAGGTATAATATATACTAAATATTATATATTTGGCACATAAAGTATAAGCTATTTTGTGCTTATAGAACTAATAATCCATTATTCATATTTTTCTCAAATTGTTTTACCTCACAATTGTGTCTGGAATCTTTGTGGGTCCATTTAAAACTCGATGATTCATGTTGATTACTATGTAATAAACCACAACCCTAATGTACCATAATTATTTACACATTTTCTTGTAGCTTTATCAGTTTCTTTCCAATAGAGATGGTTAAAACTTCCTTGGGCATGGTTTTTGGTGAACATATGGTACTTTCTCTAGTTTGCTGATTGGATTATAGATTCCAGCTTTACTACTGCCATCTTAAAAGAGATTGAACTAATGTATGTATATTCTCACAAGCAGGGTATAAATTTTGACAGTAATCTGATAATAGTTGGTATAACTGATAACATAGTCTGGTAATACTTGTTATCTGTCAGTTTCATGGACATGAAGTGATATTTCCTGGTAATATTTTACTTGTTTAATTGAAGTATAATGCACACACATAAAAGGAGACATAGCTTAAGATACATTTCTGAATTTTCACTAACTGAACATGGGCAGGCAACCAGTGCCCAGATTACATAAGATAGAGTATATTATGCGCACTCAGAAACCTCTTCTTTCTAAACCTCTCTAGTTACTATTCGTGGTCCTGTCAGCCCTGTAGATTTGTGTTGCACACTTTTGCACATCACGTAACTGGAAGCATACGTTATTCAGTCTGCTGTGTCCAGCTGTTTTCGAACTTTTTTTCCCACTCAACACTGATGTTCATGTCATTCATCCATGCTACCATGAGTACTTGCAGATTTTCCATTCTAGTTCTGTCGTATTAAATTGTATGGCTACATCATCATATGTTCAACCTCTCCAGGTTGTTTCCAGTTTTAGTTACTATGAAAAGTGTTGCTTATGAACATTCTAGATAATGGCTTTTTTAAAAATATTGAAATCATTTTATTGGGGGCTCGTGCAGCTCTTATCACAATCCATTTGTCCATCCATTGTGTCAAGCACATTTATTTGTACATATGTTCCCATCATCATTTTCAAAACATTTCTTTCTACTTCAGCCCTTGGTATCAGCTCATTTTTATGTCTTACACCAGCCACTGTCTCCCATCACTCACTTCTGTTGTCCATCCCCCTGGGAGGGGGTTATGTGTAGGTGATTGTGATCAGTTTCCCCTTTCTCCGCCCACCTTACTCTTACCCTCCTGGTATTGCTACTCTCATTATTGGTCCTGAGGGGGTTTATCTGCCCTGGATTCCCTATATTTCCAGCTCTTATCTGTACCAGTGTACATGCTCTAGACTAGCCATATTTGTAAGGTAGAATTGGGGTAATGATAGTGGGGGAGGGTGGCCAAGAGCATTAAAGAACTAGAGGGAAGTTGTATGTTTCGTCAGTGCTATACTCCACCCTGACTGGCTCATCTCTTCCTTGTGGGCCTTCTGTAAGGGGATTTCCAGTTGTCTACAGATGAGTTTTGGGTCTCCACACCACGCTCCCCCTCATTCACATTGATATGATTTTTTTGTTCTGGGCCTTTGATGTCTGATACCTGTGATCCCATCGACACCTCATGATCACACAGGCTGGTGTGCTTCTTCCATGTGGGCTTTGTTGCTTCTCAGTTAGATGTCTGTCTGTTTATCTTCAAGCCTTTAAGACCCCAGATGCTATATCTTGTAATAGCCAGGCACCATCAGGTTTCTTCACCACATTTGCTTATGCACCCATTTTGTCTCCAGCGATTGTCTTGGGAAGGTGAGCATCACAGAATGCTGGGTTATTAGAACAAAGTGTTCTTGTCTTGAGGGAGTACTGGAGTGGAGGCCCAATGTCCGCCTGCTACCTTAATACTTAACATATAAATATATGTACGTAGATCTATTTCTCTATCATTATATATAAATATATTTACATATGTATATGGCTATATTTAGACCTCTATAGATGTCCCTTGCCTCCTAGTTCTTTCCTCTATTTCCTTTTACTTTCCTCTTGTCCCCCTATCATGTTTGGCTTTCATTCAGGTTTCAGTAATTCCTCTCAGCTACATTGCCCTTGATCAAGGTCCACCAGGTATCCTGTGCCCTCCTTGCCATCAGTTTTAGATCATTTGTTGTTCCCTTGTCCCTGGGTTGTTGACAGCCTCTTCCTTTTCCCTACTTCCCCTCTCCTGTGTCCCCCTGGAACTATTGGTCCCATTTTTTTCTCTTCTGGATTATTATATATCCCGTCTTTTGGAGAACACATGTGCATTTCCTTTGGATATAGACCTTAGAACAGAATTAAGTTTGAGTATGTCTTCAAAATTATCTTTTCTTAATTTGCTTGCCTTTTTTAATTCTTTGGTAGGACTTTTGCTTATAATTATTATTACTATATTTTGCATATCAGGTTGTATGTGTTTCATATACCTTTGATTACTTTTTACTATATATATGTATCTATATATTTTTTACTATATATATGTATCTATATATCTATATATATTTACTAGACATATGTATCTATATATATTTCTGTCTACCCATATAGCTATGTTTTCATTTGTTGTATGTAGTTCTGAAATGTTTCTGTCAACATTTCCCACCTCCTCCACCCACACTCCCACCCCCATTTTTAAAATGGCATTGTAGGCGTTTGGGGTAGTGAGTTTGAGGCTTCTATTTTCCATATGAATTAAAATCACTCTAATTGGCCTTTTTATTAGAATGCCATTGAATTTAGAGGTGTATTTGGGGATAAAATATTGTACTTTGGGATGCTTAAACGAGTAATGCATTTACAACCTGGTAAAAGTAAATTCTCCATTATGTAGAGCTAATATTGTTAGAAATAGGTGACAAAGTCCTAGAGTGTTGCTTTGTGTTAACTCTAGAAATAAGTATCCAATGGTTAGTTATCTAACCTGTACACTAGAAGTAATAAAAATGAAGAAGATAAATACATTGAGTTGTCTTGTATGCAGTAATAGCCCTCTGCTAGGCATTGTTGATGGTATAAAATAGACGAGAATAAGTTTGAGAGAAATAAATGAGAGAGAGTAAGACATAATTTGCTTTTGAGTCTCGAAATAAGTCTAATAGGGAACACAAACAAATTACTCAATCCCCGTAGGTTTGCACCCCCATTATTATGCGCCTGGGCAGTGGTGGTGAAGTGCTGTCCAGTTGGCGCAACTCATAGTCACCTTATATTAAGGTGACCAGACAGCCAGCTTTTGAACAATTTGTCCCCCGTCCCACGGCGTTTTAAAAAAGTCCCGATTTTTGGAAAGAATGCTCGACGAGCTAGGGAAGACCAAATTTTTCATCAAGAACACCCCCCACCCCAACCCCCAGTCAATGGTGTCCCGCTTTACCAATGTTAAAATCTGGTCACCTTACCTTATATACAACAGAGGAAGCACTGCCTGGTCTTGCAGCATCTTCACAGTTGGTATGTTTGCGCCCGTTACATACTCTTACAGCACTGACTCTCTATGACCCATCACAGTTTTCTTTTTATATTTATGTCTGTGATGATTTAATGTCTACTTTCTCCTAAGATACAATGATGGACTCAAACATTTTTTTTAATTGGGAGGACTGTACAGGGCCAGGCAGTGTTTTATTCTGTGCACAGCTAAGAGATCTGGCATTGCCATGCCTATTGATGGAGGAGGAGGAAATGAGTGTGCTTATTGGTGGTCTCTAAAGGAAGTGTGATTTTTGTTGTTGTTGTTGTTTTGGTATTTTATTATTCCTTTGTATTTTTCACTCGGATTATTGTGTTTTCTATGCATATTTTAATTGGGAAATAGTAATTATTAGCCTCATTAGCATGGGAATAATATACATTTAAAAACTCTACATTGATCTATCAAATAGGTTTTGGGGTTGAAAATATGGCAACAGCAATGGATGAGGACCTGGAGGAAGAACTGGATGAGAAAGACGAGAAGTCCATGATGTGCCCGCCGGGCATGCACAAGTGGAAGCTGGAGCAGTGCATGGTGTGCACGGTCTGCGGGGACTGCACCGGTTACGGAGCCAGCTGTGTCAGTAGTGGGCGCCCAGACCGGGTCCCTGGAGGGTAAGGAAGGGAGGAGTACTGAGGAAATAAATACTGCTGGAAAATGTGCAGCATACATGCCTTTTCTAAAATGATGTGAGTGTACTTTTCCTTAAAGGCATATGAATACATAAGTATTTTTTTCTTTCAGTCATTTTCTGTTATCATGCTACTCTCCCATATAATGCATTTAACAACATTTCTCTCTCATTTAAGTCAGTTTCACCATTATTTAGAAGCAGATCAGAAGTGTTTTCAACACTTGGGGCTATACCTTCATTTCTTAATGCTCCTTCAATACTATCCATTTTTGTGGAACATAACTTTTTTCTGAGTAAGGCTATCAAATATATTGCAAGCTCAATTAGGCATAGGTGTACTGTTTGCAGTTTAAGGAGTTCAGTTCCAAAGTTGCTTGTTGTATTATTTGTTTTATTGGATCACTTTTTTTTTCTTTTTTCTTCAGTATTCATTATTATTTCAGGCACCCTGATAGCGCAGTGATTAAGCATTTGGCTGCTAACTGAAAGGTCAGAGGTTTCAACTCGCCAGCTGCTCCTGTGGAGAAAAGACCTGGCGATCAGCTCCGAGGAGGTGTAAAACTTAGGACCCTCGAGAGGTGCATTTCTGCGCTGTCCTGTAGGGTTGTTCTGAAGTTACAGTCGACCCCACATAATAACAATACGATAGGATTTGCACTTCGTATTTAATCTTTAAGTCTGACAGAATTGGACTACCAGTTTCTCCCTAGCTTCCAGAAGAGATGTTTGGTTTTGTGTTTACACCATCAGTTAAGGTCAACTGAACATACTGAGTGTCCTGTGTGAGAGCCCCAATCATTGGCTATTTTGTGGGAGTTGAGGTATATGGGCAAGGAAAGCCCAGGGGGTGGTCAGCTCCTCCCATGTCACTGACCCCTCTGATAGCATCATTTCTCTAGCTGTCCCCAGCGTTTCTTCCCAGTCCTGCCTAGATTGGCTGCCACTATAAGTCTAGGTGGATACTAGACATAAAGTAACAGTTAAGTCGATCATTTGTTTTTTGTCTTAAGGCTACTGAAATATTGAATATTGAAATAAAAGTTTAAAAAAACCAAATTTACTATATTTTAGAGTATGTAAAAAATCTTTGACTTAAAAACAATATTAATTCCATTGAGCTATATGTTTAGTTCTGTTTCCTATGTCTAAATATCCAATTGTTTGTACTTGAATTTACTTTGGAGATGTGCAGAGATTCTGTTATTACTTATTTAACAACATTGGAGTTGAGATTTATCCTCTTATCTTTCCCAAAGTGTATCTATGAAAATTCACTGTCCCTGACCTCTGAGTTTAAGCAACTGGTCTAGATCCTAAAGGAGTCACCTGAGTCCTCTGGCCCCTCTCGGAACTAATGATCCCTCTTTGTGTGTGCTTTCTTCCTCTAGAGATGCCCTGTTAGTTTCTAATAACTACTCACGGATCTGTTCCATGCTAGCACAGTCATGTACAGGAATTTCTTTGTAAAGCTTCAATAAATGAATGAATGAAGTGTACATAGAAATATATTACAGGAGGACATAAACATCTATTCAAAATGACTTCCTTTTGTATTTTAATTATGATAAAATTGAAACTACTTATTTTAGAGTAAACTTATAATGAAACAGACTCTTAAAATACTGCTCACAGGTTTTCCAGCTGTGCATCTCAACACGTGAATTTTTCTGTGTAGCCTCTGATCTCCCAAACTGTCAGCAACGCTTGCTTGGCACAGCCGGGAGTTTTACAGGGCAATTAGCGGTGCCTGTTGCCAGGTAGATTCTTCTTGTCCATCCTCAACTATGGATAACAGCAGGCTCAGGAAGCTGCTTAAGGTGTATGTGGACTGGGCCAGTGAATAACAGTAAAGCTATGATTTCTACATCTTCAGAACATAATATGCCACTGAGAAGCTCCTTGTCCACCAGCAGGCTCGCCAAGGTCTTGGAGTATTTTTATCCTTTTGTTATACACAAACACCCCGAAGTCTGCAGCCCCTGGAAGGGAGAGGAGTGGACGCGTGGTGCTGGGCCGTCTGGAGAGTGCCCACCCTCTGATCTTGTAGAGAGCCACACCTTTTGGCTTTGCTTTTTGGTGTGTGGTTTTTTGTTTTTTTGTGGGTTTTTTGGTGTGTGTTTTTAAACCAACCATTACATCCAATCCCTGTGATACTTCAGCTGCTACTGTTTTACTAATTGTGAAAACTTTCAAAAGACACTTCTTGTTAATAGTGGCTTTCAAAGTAGCAGACTGGGTCGCCATGTATTTTCTCTAGAAATACGAGGGGGCTTCAAAAAGTTCATGGTAAAGCAAAATTAACAGTGCAGTTTTTTTTCATGAACATCTTGAAGCTGTCTTCGCACCAGTTTTACTTATCAGTTTTAATAAAATCTGATTTGCGATGGAAAGCTTAACAAAATTTTGTTTATAACTAACTATTCATTTGTTCGTACATTTTCTTTAAAATGGATACCTCTTGATCCAAAAGGGTAATTTCTTTTTCTTTTTTTCCCCTCCCAAATCATTTTATTGGGGGGCTCGTGCAACTCTTACCACAATCCATACATACATCCATTTTATCAAGCACATTTGTACATTTGTTGCCATCATCATTCTCAAAACATTTGCTTTCTACTTGAGCCCTTGGAATCAGCTCATTTTTCCCCTCCCTCCCTGCTCCCCCGTCCCTCATGAACCCTTGATAATTCATATATTATTTTATCGTATCTTACACTGCCTGACGTCTCCATTCACACCCTTTATTGTTGTCCCTCCTCCATGGAGGGGATTAAATGTAGATCCTTGTAATCTGTCCGTCCCCCCCCAAAGGGTAATTTCATTGCTGATTCATTTAATCTCTGAGTTTGGAAAGGCAGTGATTAAAAACAAAAACCTTTTGAGAATTTCAGCTAAACACGTTTCTTTCCCCCTCCTCTTGTCCTTTAAGCATCTGTGGTTGTGGCTCTGGGGAGTCTGGCTGTGCTGTGTGTGGCTGTTGCAAGGCTTGTGCAAGAGAGCTGGATGGTCAAGAAGCACGGCAGCGAGGGATTCTTGATGCAGTGAAAGAGATGATACCTTTAGATCTTCTTTTAGGTAATGTGATTGGCTAAAACACCTGGTCCTCAATTTAATAATCCTCATAGTGTAAGCATTTTCTATGGGGGTAAGCAGATAAGAAGGGTGTATGTACACAGTGCTGCTTTTACCATAGTGGGCGATAGGCCCTTAATTAAGGAATGAGATTTCCCCTCTTTTGTTCTGAGAAATCTTAAAGTAAAATTAATTTATGCTTTAGTTTAGTTATGTTTTAACCTATGCTTTGCTGTGTCTGTTTTCTGAAGAAACATACTCTGTTTATGTTTTTGCTTACTTCTACATTCTTGAATATCATAGTTTGGGCATTCTGTTACAAAACTTAGTTCCCTTTTTTTTTTTTTTGATCCAGCTGTCCCAGTACCTGGGGTTAACATTGAAGAACATCTTCAGTTACGACAAGAAGAAAAACGACAGAGGGTAATCAGGAGACACAGATTAGAAGAAGGAAGAGGTAAGATGTGGTTGGGTAAGAAAAAGTATGTGAAAATCCATTTTCTCAACCTGTAGTAAGACCATCCAACGAATTACCAATTAGGCTGATTTTGTAAGAAAGCATGGGCATTAAAATGAATAACCTTCTGATCAGTCATGAAAATGATATGAAATCATTCAAGGTACTTATAAATACGTTTTTAAAATATATTTAGTGCAGTATGGTGTATATTAACAGTCTACAGTAACTATTAGAAAAGATAACTTTTTAAAGTTGAAAATTCTTGTCCTCTGCCTAGTCATATAGACCCATCTATATGACTGGGTCAAGAAATTCGGTTTCGTGCAGAATTTTACTGCTGCTTTCTTACATTTTCATTGTTCTCATTTGTGCAGCACACACGCATGTTTTGATAAGTCTGTTTTCTGAAGAAGTATATTCTGTTTATGTAGAAGGGTAAATTGGAGGTCTGAAAGTTTTATTTGGAAATATGGGCTGGCTAACTTTTCTTTGTTTTTTTATGGCCATCACTCCAGCCTAAGAGTTTTTATACTATGTGATATGGTTTTAATGTTTATAAAATGGTATTATAATATTATAATATAACAGATCAACATGTGTATGATAGAAACAGCTGTTGTTCAACAGAGTCTCTTCTATGTGTGGTTAAGATCAATGCAACAGAAGTTTCCGGTTTTATTGCTTTTTGAAGCAAAAGTTTGATTAGAAATTTTTGATACTCCATATTTTAAATAGTTAACTAGAAATGATAGTTTATACATGTGATAAAGTCTCTAGGTATATTATTCATGTAATCTACATTATAATTTTTCCTAGAGGTTTTTTTCTTTCATGTAAAATGGGATAATAGTAAAATTTGAAGGTAAGTCAAAAGTATTGCTACACTGAGGTTCCAATTTATACATGCATAGGTTTGTTCTAAACAAAACCTATTTCAACATGTCTTTGTGATCAGTGGATGGCCACAGAAAATTCTCTTAAAAGTCTCCTTAAAGTGTCTTCAAAAGTGAGCCCTTACGGTATGGCCCTGGGTCGCACTTAAGATAAAAAAGGGCAGCATGTACCAAACACAAAATCCAGAGGTTAAGAGAGGAGAAAGACTGGACACTGAAAACACCGGGACTAGAAGTAGGAGAAGTGCTGGTGCATTGAGGCTATTGCAGCGGAGTAATTGAAAAAATGTGTATGAATTGTTGAATGTAAAACTCATAATCTACTCTATAAATTTTCACTGAATTCACAATAAAAAGTGGAAAGGCCCAATCAAAGCAGTGGCTTCTAAAGGGATGAGGTGGGCCAGGTCAATTAATGGCAGAGAGAGAGGAGTTCAGAAGGTGATGACAAGTTTGGGGGACTCCAAAGGGTTGGTCGTGCTATTGTCTCTTAAGGATGCAGGACAGTCACAAGGAGAAGAACTTGGAAGAACTTTTAAGAAGATTGAAAACCATATTCGTGAGATAAAGACCAGGAAAATTGTGCTAAAGGACATTTTTTTAATCATAATATACCGGCTCATTCTTTGATAGTAACAAGGGCTGGCTCAGGAGAATTTTGTTGGGTAACCTTACCCAATCCACCCTACAGAACCTGATCTTGCTCCCTTTTAACATCTTCTTTTCCCCCAGAAACTCAAAGGACAGTGGAAAAGAACAGAATTTGCGTCACCAAGAATAGTAAAGATGCTGTTTGGCTTAGTTATAAATCAAGAAAGTACAGAATTGTTTGGGGGAAGGGTCTAGAGAGATGAAAAATTGCCTTCAGAAACGGATAGGCTGAGATGTAGGATATGGGGAGAATTGCACATTTTGGAACGGTTGTTTTAATCAAAGGTTCTCTGCTTTTGTAGCAATACTTCTAGACTTCTCATGTTTGGGATAATTGTATATTACATCTTTCTATCAAATAGAATTTAAGTTCTCAGTCTTTACGACTGTGGTAATTAAGTGATTGTTTCCTTTTTATGGTAATAATATCATTTGCTTAAGTTTAGTGATCAATGCACCACTTTGCGGCATTTTTATTCTTCCTTTGAATAAAATATTAGGTTCAACTATTAATTATTAATATTTCAAAAATATTAGGTTCAATAATAAAAATTGATCTACACAACCCAGCAATTTCTTCAGCTTCAAACTGATACTATAGAATGTGCTTGTGATGATGTTTCCTTATTTATGTAATGATGTATATCTTGCTAATATTTCTTCCCCCCCCTTTAACAAAGCTGTTTTTATCTAGATGTGGTATATATTTTCACAATAGAAGGAACATGGAATTAACTCACTGTCATATGTATTGGTAATTCAACAAAATTTAATGATTGCAGAGTCTTTAAAGCTTCACTAGTTAAACATTTAAAATGTTTTATTACTGACTGTGCTTGCTTTTACAAGCAGAGTCGTAGGTTCTGGGCATTGGGTGTGTATTTTGTTCCACTTCAGTTTCAACTATGGTATTCATGAAGGAATTTGGGAAGATCACTCTTAGGTGTTTGCAAGAAATGCCAGTTTGGGGGCCCAGTCCCCTAGACCTTCTGCATCACTGACTTAGTGAGTGCGACTCAGCAGTGCATAGTTTCAACTGTTCCACTGGGTGACTGATGGGAGTAAGATATGAGAACCACTCTTGTAGGAAAATATTGTTCGAAGTTCGCTCCATGCATCCTCTACAACAGCTCGCTTGGTGCCCACACAAGACCTTGTGAATCAGTTTTAGGTTCCTGGAGTCTGCATTTGAAACAGATTTAAGTCAATTGCATGGTGTTGTTAGTTTTCCTTTTGTTCTTTATGAACTCGTCTTTTATTTTTCTACCCATTGCATGGTACTTCTCAGAGCACAACCGTTGAGTAACATGGTAGTAGGTATGCACATTCTCACTGCCAGTGCCGCCATTCCAACTTACAGTGACCTTAGAGGAAAGAGCAGAAGGGCCTCGGTGGGTTCCCGAGACTGCAGATCTTCACGGGAGTGGAGTGCCTCGTGATGGAACATGTGGTTAACAGCTCAAAGAGTAACTCGCCGTACTACCACGTTCCCTGAAATATGCCCATTGGCGATGTGATTTTTCCTGTGCTCATGTCTCAGAGCTTCAGGTTTGGATTATGTTGTGTTACTTGACTGCCTGTCTCATCTTCTTTAGCAAGCCCCGGTAAATTGCTTCCGAGCTAACCAGATCGTAGAAAAACAGCTGTTTTGCTAAATCCTTGCCCAGTCAATCACTGGCCTATTGCTATAATAGATACAATTTAGCTACTGCCTATGACACACTCTCTTCTGTAGTAGGAAGTGCCATTGAAATTAGGTTATCCAGAATACAGCTTTTTAATAAAGCGTGACCATTGCCTTTAGTAAAAAAAAAAATAAAAAATTTTGGTAAATGTATGAAGTGACTTAAAAGTTAGTAGTGGCAATCTTTTTTAATTCCATTTTCCCATGGGTTTTTTGCCAATTTAATAATTTGCCAATTTAGCACTTCTCACATATATAATTCAGTGACGCTGATTATATTCATCATGTTGTACAACCTTTATCACTATTCTTCCTAATTACACGACGACTGTTAACATAAACCCAGTGCCCCCCTTTCTTCCCACCTCCCTCCCATCCTTGGTAACCACTAATACGATTTGATCTGTACATCTGCCTATTTTATTTGTGAGATCATAAACATTTCTTTTTTTTGTGGCTTCTTTCTGATGCTGTTAATTTTTTACTCTTGTAAGAAATATATAGCCCAGTATTTGGCAATTCAAAGTTTTTAAGTGTGTAGTTTAGTGACACTAATTACATTAATCATGTTGTGCAACCACCACTAATAACCTTTGCCAAATTCTGCTTCACCATAGACAGAAACTCAGTGCTTCCTAAACAGTGATTCACACTCCGGGAACAACGAACGAACCTTGGCCTCTATACATTTGCCTTTCAGATGGGTTAGTGAGATCGCAACATATTTGCCCTTCTGGGATGTACTACCTCCGGTCAGCTTGTTGTTAAGGTGCTATCAATATTTCAGATAACATTTTTTTCCTTAAATCAATCTTTTTAAAAAAATCATTTTATTGGGGGCTCATACAACTCTTATCACAATCCATGCTAAATCAATCTTCTTAAGTACCAATAGAACTTAGTTACACCTTTTAGTTCAAGATACTTGTGGTATGTTTTAGTTGTTTAGATTTCACAAAACTAGTTGCTGTGCGAATTTTCTGGTTCTTGGGTTAACTTCTAAGTGAAGGGCTGGTTCTGTAGAATTCTTGCATTGAACTTTCCAAGGCACTTCAAAAACTCTTGGGTGATGTTATCATTGGTTGTGTGTTTCTGTTCCTCCGTTTAGAATATGGATCTACCACTGTCCTTAGCTGCAGAGTACTTCATCGTCTGGTTGTACCACCTTGATTCGGCACCATTCTGTTACAAAGCTTTGAGGTTATTGCCAGTTTCTAGAATTTTGGGTAATAATAGTCTTGATGCTGTGCAGACTGCAGCTTTTGGTTTATATAATGGGACAGCCCCAAAATAGAATGTCGGAGTCAATGTCTGGTTTGAAAAAATTTCCAATTGCTTTTACAAATACACTAGGCATTTGTATTGTAAAAAAATAATTCATGAGATTGATGTTTCTTCCTCCTATTTAACCCATACTTGTCATTACTGCTTTTTAAAATATATAAAACTTAGGTAAACAGTATTATCTTGTTAATTTAAATAGCACAAAACCTCTCCCTTTTTTTCTTGGTAAAAATATATCCTAAATCTTACATCTGGCAGCAAAGTGTTATCCTACTTTGTATCCTACCTAGTGTTTGAGAATTATTTTCCTATTATGTGACATAATTTTTTCTGTAATGAATAAGACTGTAGTAAATATTTTTGAGCTGGAATTTGTATAGATTTTCATAGATGTACGTTACTGGGTCAGAGAATAATAGTAAACTGTATAACTGTATGCTCTTGAAATGTATCAAAAGCAGATTTCTGAAAGGCTTTTGTGCTACTTTGTGATATCATTTAATCTAGTAACCATGTCTGCCTGCTTGACTGCCTATGAATATGCCCCTAAAAACCCATTGTCTACCCAGTACTTAAGGAGCTTTTAAATATCTAAATCTGGCCCTGTCTACCCAGTACTTAAGGAGCTTTTAAATATCTAAATCTGGCCCTTTCGTGCTTGTTTTAGTCACGCCTCTTCCAATAAGCCAGCAAACTGTTCATTCTCCCTTCTTAATTCCTTAATAACTTGTGAATATGTCCACTTCTCAGCAACCCCAAAGCTGCTGTGTCTTTAGGTCAGGCCACTCCTACCCTTACTTTAAATTATAGCAGAAAGCTTTTTAATTAACCCTGCCTTGTTACCCCCCCTTTAATATAGGATGTTTACACTGAAATACAAATTTATAAGCAACACTTATTGTTTGAAATCAAAAAGCTAATCAAAGTCTTTAGTGTGAATTCTAATTTTGTTTTTTCCTTTACAGTCTCATCTCTTTACTCTTCTGTGTAGGCCCTCTCCCCAAACTTTTTTTCTCTTTCACATATCTCAACGTTTCTAATAGTCTCTTCTTCTTCCTCTAGTAGGTTTCAGCCTATATTCTTTCTTCTTGTACTCTTAAGACTCCACGACTCACCGGTTTTCAAGATTTGGTATGTGCCCCCTGGTGTGCGTTCTTCTGACACAGCACACCACCATCAGATCTTTTTTTTCTTTTTAAATCATTTTATTGGGGGCTTTACAACTCTTATCGCAATCTATACATCCGTCCATTGTGTCAGGCACATTTGTACATTTGTTGCCATCATCATTCTCAAAACTTGCTTTCTACTTGAGCCCTTGGTATCAGCGCCTCATTTTCTCCTCCCTCCAGCCCCCTTGACGATTTTTAAATTATTATTATTTTGTCATGTCTTACACTGTCCGATATCTCCCTTCACCCGCTTTTCTATTGTCTGTCCCCCAGGGAGGGGTTTATATGTAGATCCTTGTAGTCAGTTTCCCCTTTCTACCCTACCTTCATGCTACCCTCCCAGTATCGCCACTCTCACCACTGGTCCTGAGGGGTTCATCTGCCCTGGATTCCCTGTGTTCCCACTTCCTATCTGTACCAATGTATATCCTCTGGTCCAGCCGGATTTGTAAGGTAGAATTGGGATCATGATGGGGGTGGGGAGGGGAGGAAGCATTAAAGAACTAGAGGAAAGTTGTATGTTTCATTGGTGCTATACTGCACATTGACTGACTCGTCTCCTCCCTGTGACCCTTCTGTAAGGGGATGTCCAATTGCCTGCAGATGGGCTTTGAGTCTCCACTCCGCACTTCCCTCATTCACAATGATATGATTTTTTGTTCTTTGATGCCCGATCCCTGATCCCTTTGATGCCTCGTGATCACACAGGCTCCACCATCAGATCTTGTTTGGTGGTTATGTGTACCTTCTCTCCTCCACCCATATATGATCATGAGCTTCTGTAAGCAGATATTGTGTCATGCTTATCCAAGTGTTCCCAGACCTAATGTGGTGCCTGAAGTTTGTAAGTGCTTTAATAAATATTGGTTGATTAATTGAAAGCATTTCAGGGACTTGGAATTAAGTCTAGAATAGAATTGTGTAAAAACATTTTGTTTTCTTTCTACCTCTCCCACCCAACTCATTTCCTACCACTTCCTGCTTTTATAATCTGTGCTTCATACATTGAATCTCTGTGTGTTTTAAATGACTGATACTATTCAACATTGATCTTGATTTTGTAAATCCGATTCCTTTCACCCTGAGGTGCTGTGGGTTAGTCATTGGGCTTTTAACTTCAGGGCTGGGTGTTCACACCCACCAGCCGCTCTGAGAGAAAGATGAGGCTGTCTGCTCCTATAAAGCTTTGCATGAAACTCTTTGTGGAACAGTCTTCTGTCCTGTACGGTTACTAACCTAAGTCACAGTCAACACCCAGCTGTGGGTTCTGTGGTTTGATTCTTTTACCTGGCCTGCTTTCTCTTCTCTTCTCTTTTCTCCTTTTCTGAAACCTCTCTGCTTTATCAAGGCTGATGTAATCACTTTTTATCCTTTAGTATGTCTTCTTGTATACCATTGCTTATAATGCAGTTCTTCATTTTTATTTCTATCTTCCCCCCAAAGGATCTGTTTGTGTCATTATACACTTGACACCTTGTATGTGTAAAGTAGAGGTAACTTTAAAAGGTTGGCAACAAAATGAATAGAATTATATCTTTAAGAAAAGTTGTCTTGATCTATGGGAGATGAGACTGTTTTACAACCTGAACGGCTGCCACTATGAATGGGGAAATTTGTTGGCATTTCTTGTATAATTTCTGAGTCTGGTTGCTCATGGGCTTCTAGATTTGTATGCTAAAACATTCTAAAACAGATTGAGTTTACTGGAAAGTCAAATGACCGTGGACATGGTGGGTGCAATATATTTTTATTGGAAGAAGTAACAACCCATGCAGAACACAGAAGTAATAAAATGTTATTACAGCATTATTATTATTGATTCAATGCTAACAATTCTATTGTCTTTTTGGAAAGTGCCTTACACTTCTTAGATTTCTCTTATCTGCTTTAGAAAACCAAATGAAAAATAATACATCTTGAGGAAATAAGACATTTTGTTCACTTGAAATATATTTAATTTTATCTTTCAAAAATGATGCTTAGTTTATATAACCTAAGTTTGAAAGTAATTGATTCTGCATTATTAATTCTTTTCTCGACATTAAATTGAAATATTTCTATTAGTAATATAGAAAACATAGAACATGATATTCTTGATTTTCCACAGAATTGGGGTTGCTTGAATTTTTATTGAAAGACATGATTGAAAAAGGTTTCTCATTTTAACCTAGTTTTGTTTTTAATGAAGGTACTTGGGCAGTTGATTTTGCATGTATCCAATTTTATTATAAAGCAATATTGTCATTTTGCTTATCTATAGAAAAGTTTATTAGCGTTGAAGATCTATAAAGAGTCATGAAGAAACATGCCTTAATTAAACTGTTCCGTGTTTGTGCACGGTCACGATTTTACCTAAATCTAGGTAACTCCTTGAACTGTCATGTTTAAAGTGTTTGGCAACTTGAAGGCATTTGTGATGTACCTGAAATGCTAGAGAGCTGTAGGACTCTTGTAGAAGAAAAGAACTAAAATTTAAATGTATAATTTATATAGATTGTCTATTCTTTAACTTTAAATGAAAAAAAAACAATCATGAAAAGCAATTTTACAAACTTGCTCAAATTAATTTTCAATAGATGTTTTTCTTTGAATACTCTGGTTAGAAATAAATATAATATGTTGGGAATAATACAATATAATGTAGTAGAGCTTCTGAAAGAAATGATATCATGAAGGAACTGTCAGTAGTTCCTAAACTGTTAACTTATGTTAGATTGCCCGCTTCACTGTCAGTCTAATCTCAATAGGAAAGACACTTGTCTGAGAGACATCATGAGTTACCCAATTTTTATACCATTTAAAAATATTGTAAGTTAATTTATGGGAACTGAAATTCCTGATTAACTATTCAAGACTATTCGTAAGTACCTGATAGCTTTATGAAAGTACATGGTGGAATCTATTCTTTATAAACCAGATGATGGTAAATTGTGCTTGGAATGGTGAGTAGCTTATGGCTGGGAGGGGGCGGATTGAAATAGGGGAATTTGGAAAGGAGTGTAATATGCAAAATGGCTAAGAATAATTGTTCATGCTTTTAGTTTTAATTTTGTGCAATGTAGTGTTTGCGTTTTGTGAGCTTTTCTATGCACATGCACAATGTTTCTCCTCAGGCCCCCTTGTATTTGCTGGTCCTATTTTTATGAACCATCGAGAACAGGCTCTAGCCAGACTCAGAGCCCATCCAGCACAGCTAAAGCATAAACGGGACAAGCACAAAGGTATTTGGTCTTCCTTATCAACTAGGTGGGAACTCCCGATTTCTTCCCCTAATGTTAATTTTATTTCTGGGAAAATGCACAATCTGACTCTTCTGCTTTGCTTCTCTCATTAGTTTGTAGCCTGAGGAGAAAGAACGTGCTAAAATGCTAAGCTGAAAGTGGGACCGCTTGTCAAGTGATTGTCATCCTGCTTGTTTATTTTTTCCCCCATTTTAACTTCAATGTTTTCTGATAACTTCGATCAAGAAGGTGTTTCATGCAGATAATTTTCTTTACTGCTTCTTTTCAAATATCATAAAGTTAAGGAAAGATGGGGGAAATGTCAGTGGTTTCTCTTTATTATCTGCCCATAGGTGTGTGACATATGATATGTTACTCTTTTTTACCCCTACCCATCCCCAGACACTTTATTTGCTTTGGAATTAATACAACTACTAAATCCATTGTTCAAAGTCATAATGAGTTAAGATGATTTTTACACTGCTTCTTTGTCTTAATATTGAACTTTATATATCAAATGGGAATGTACAAATATTTAGCCGTTGAAGGTTAAAAGAGATTTAAGAGCGAGGTTTACAGATCTTCCCGGAGAGTAACTAGAATTATTTCTGAGTTAGTAGTGTTCTGGATTAATTAAAAATATTCCTAAAGTGTGCTTTTTCTTCTAAACCACAATTTACAAGGCATCTGCCTCAGGGAAGAGTGTAATGTAGAGAGCTTATAAATTTTCAGACAGCACCTGGGTTATGAATGCGATCCTCGCTGCTAAATTGTGACTGTGAGTCGAATTTGTAGGTACGTTGGAGCAGGCGCACATGGTTCTCATTCAGTCTTCCCTTCCTGCGGTTCAGAACTGCACAGGCCTCTGTGAAGACAGTTTGAGGAAGAATTTGTTTAGACTAAGAGCTGGTTTAAAAAATTTACTTGGCCATAAAGGGCATGTAGGAATTGTCTATAACCCAGGGACTGCCTTGCTATATAAATTGTCTCAAATCTTCTTTGCTCACTAGTGGCCATTTTCTTATGTATCTAGAAAGCCAAAATGGAATAGAATTAACTTAAGTTTATGTTTTGCTTTCTCCTATGCTAAAAATTGTGTAGAATAAATTTTTAGAGCATTTACATGTAATATTATCAACTGTATTTTAATTTGCCTCTCTCAAGCTGCCACTTTGTCTCTCAAAATAAAACAGAAAACCAAACAAAAAAGACTGTTTTTGGTAAAAACACAAGTAGGGAATGTTCTACCTAAGGTATCTTCTTCAAAAACCAAAATTGAGGGTACTTTAAATCTAATGTGATTAACCACAGTAAAATGGGTTTTTGTTTATTTCCTGACTACTTTAACAATATTTAAATATTTAAATCTCAGAGCAGTACTAGGCAAATTGTTTTTCCCTATTGTCAGCATCTCTGATCCCTTGTTATTTCTGCTATGCCACTGTGAGAGTGGGTTTCCTCCGGGTTTATTTCTATGATATCGTCTCTAGTAGAATTCTCCCACGACTTGGCCTGAGGCTAAATATTTACATATCATGAAACAGTTCAAAACTTGTTTCTCTCTATTTCAGTATTTTATGGGCAAACACCTATACTTCTTTGTCCAGGATATTATATAAAGACCAAAGATAAAAAAAATAAACGTGACTCTTTACAACAATCCAATAATGATTTTCTCTAGACATTGCTGAATGACTTAGCAATAGTTAACCTGACTACACTGATCTGTCACAGGGTGATTGAGTAACAAGGTTCTCTGAATCTCTGTAGCAGCAGCTTTGGTTTCTAATACCTGCTTTGTCATATTACAGTATAAGTTTCAATGTAAGTATATGGTTTTAATCAGATTTTATGATTTTGTATAATGAAACAGTTTTATCTCTTTGCCCCTAAAGTGATTTTTAAGTATCAAACATATTTTACCAAATAGTGCCCTCTTGGAAAGAAAGGGAATTCATTATCATTCGCTAATTCCTATCTCCCTCCACCTAGTTTTTTTCTTCCTCTTCCTCCTCCTCTTCCTCTTCACCTCTCTTCCGCTCCCCTCCCTTTCCCTCCTCTCCCCCTTAGCTGTTATTTACTAATGTACAGTTCTCTTCACTTACTGTTGTACTCTTGCTGCATTTCACAATTTTTTAGTAAATATTCCTTCTACTTATGTCCCTCCTTTTTCTTGCTCTGTTTAAATTTCAGTGTATTCACTGACAAGTTCTCTGTAACTATTTACTGTCTTTGTTTTATATTTCATTATGCTGGAGTACAGATTGTAGGGTGATAATAATTAAATTTTTCTGGACAATAGCTTCTCTGTGAGGGGTTTAAGGGTAACTGCTGTGCTTTATTCTTAATAGGAGGGAACTCTCAGATGGTGTGTTAGCTTGGGTTCTCAAGAGAAGCAAAACCAGTGGCGTGTGTGTGTGTGTGTTTGTGTGTGTGTAGAACTTTATAGCAAGAAAATGATTTCACACAGTTGTTGAAATGGGCAAGTCCAGCCTAAGTCCATCCAGGTTCCAAGTCTGTGGTCAGATGATATACACAAAGCTTTAGGAGCCAATAAACCTACGATTAATAGGAAGACCACAGGTTGGTGGCTATAGAGGTATATGAATCTAAGGTCAGCAGGTCAGGCTTTTGCCTGGAGAGGCAAATGAATCCAGTGTCAACAGGTCAGATGCCAGGCCACTCATGGCTAAAGTCCAACAAACTGGAGGTCAGTTAGCCAGATGCAGCAGTCAGACCCAGCAAAAATCAAGGCAGCTTTTCCACAGTCTCCATTTACATAGAAAATAACCCACATCCCAGAGGATAATGTCTTCTAATTGCATGAGGGTTGTGACCCGAGTAATGGGTTTGCAAGCCACCCTACTCGTCTTACACCTGCTTGGCTGCTCACACCTCTGTTGTGGAGTTGGTTACATTGTGTTAGGTCACAGATCATGACGGATTTCTAGGCCTTAACTGCCATATCACTGAAAATCTTGGTCCAGCCAAGTTGGCACAAAACATGAACTATTGCAGATGGAAAGTTGGAGAGTTTTTGGATGAGTGGAGGCACTTCAGGAAAGATCACAAAATCGATTTTGTCAACAATTTGATTTAAGGAGAAATAGAATATATTAGCAAGATTTCATCTTGCTAGGATCTGTAATCATTGCTCATAAAAGCAGCAGTCAAGAGATCCAATGGCACATTGCATTAAGTAAATCTGCCGCACAAGACCTCTTTACAAGTGTTGCAAAGCAAGGATGTCAATTTGAAGACTAAGGGACGCATGACCCAAACCATATTATTTTCAATTGACTGCCTTATCGGCAAGTGAAAGTTGGATGTTGAATAAGGAAGACTGAAGGAAAACAAATTGATACGTTTGAACTTTGGTGCTGACGAAGACTATTGAAAGTACTATGGACTGTCAAAAAGAGCAGTCAACCTGTCAAGTGTTGAATATTAGCTTAGCTGATGTTAACTTATATTGGCTTTCCTCTGAAGATTGCCATGAGATTAATTAGCATGATGTCTCAAAAGTATTTACATGGTGCCTTATATACTTCTGAAACTTTATATAAGCTATATATATAGTTGGATGTATGAGGAGAGGCTTCAAAAAAATTGTTGGAAAAATTTCATTATCTTTCACTGCCATTTTCCCATGAGCTTTTGGAAGCCCCGGAGTACAGTTTTTGGGTATAGAAGTGTTCTTGCTTCGATTTTTTTGCTTTCTGTTTTAAAATTGTTACTATCCTAAAAGTAGAAAACTAGACATTTGTTAATTACATCATTTAATCATAAACTAAGATGCCAGTAGTTTGGGGGCAGGAAAATGCAGTGTTAAACTCCAAATCTTCCTACTCTTTACTAGCCTGTAACATGGAAGAATAATACCATGTTTTAGCGTTGTGTCTCTTAAAGAAAGCAGCAATAATATTGACTGATTGATGTTCAGACATCATTTCGCTTAATCCTGCTAAGAACATTGTGTGGTAAGAACACACTGCTATTTTACAGATGGAGAAGCTAAGACTTAGAGGTGCAGGGTCTAATGTTAAACAGCCAGTTAATGGTAGTGCAGAATTTCTTCCTAAGTCTCTTTGGCACACAGCCGTGAGTAGTTGCATTCAATGGGCTGTTGAGTGGATTTTCACAGCATTTAGAATGAGGCAAATAAGCTGAAGTTGCTACTGCTCCTGCTGTTGCATTTTAATAATTTTTCTCAAGAATTCTCTGACAACTTCTGTGATATGCACGACTCTGAAATGATCAAAAATAGTAAAATGTAGATTTAACTACTAATTAAAATTCAAAGAAAATTTCTGAATCCATTGTGCCAGTGTGTGTACTCAAATATGTGTATATAATACTTACATATACACTTTTTTAGATAGCTATTCTAGATTTTTTTCCCCCACTGCCCATATTGAACGTGGACCACTGCGATGTTGCCAAAGTTTGAAACACACATTCACTCACACACCATGATCCCTCTCTTGCTCCTCTTGAGAAGCCCAGAAGCAGGACCTCCCCCCAATTTCTGGAGGATAGAATGAGGGATCTGGAGGGCTGGGATGAGGCATGAGGGGAAATCGGAGAAGTGGGTTTGGAGCAGGGCGAGAAAGCAGCAGGGTCGGTGGGAAACGCTAGATTCTCAAGGCAGCTCCACAGACACAGAGAGGCAAAGACCAGGGTTGTCAGCCTCGGCTCCGGCCCAGCAGCCCTGGGGTTTCTGGAAAAGACCACTTGTCCAGAGGACATTTCAGTTCTGCCTGTCATGGAGGGACTGGGCCAAGGTCTCTGGCCTCTGCCTTCAGGGCACACGACCCCTAAGCCAAGGCGGCTTTGATGGTGGCTACCAACTTCAGAAACTTGCTTTCTGTGTCCACGTAGCCATCACTGTTCTTGGAGTGGACCAGCCTCCCTGCCACCATCACTTCAAAGAACCCGGTGGCCTGGGGGCCCCCCTCACTGCTGATGTCCAGGCAGCCAGGAAACTTATCTTCTAACTTCTTCTTGAACTGGAGATACTTAGACTTGTAATCTCAGGCTCCACAATAAATGACTTGGACGGTGAGAGCCGTGGCTCTATTCTAGATATTTTTTTATCATTTCAATATTTCATAATATATAAATAATTACATATTAAGGAAATTACACATTACGCTGATAGCTAAATGAGGCAATTGTGAGATTTTTTTATACCTAGCTCTTTTCCCTACAAATCTGAGAGTAGGTCTCACTGTTGCTCATTAACACTCTACTGAGTATTTGGCTTGAGCAGAAGTTAAACTTGCTGGATATCACTTATTCTTGAATATGCAGTAATTTTTTAGCTACTTAGAAAATACCATTTTTTCTTCAATTAAAGTCTGTTATTTCCTAAATTATTGGAATTGTGCTTGATTTTATTTTTTAGCCAACATTAAATACCAGATACACACAACAATTTATTTTGTGTGTGTGTGTGTATTGTATATGAGGGGGCTTCAAAACGTTCATGGAAAAATGAAGTGAAAAGATAATGGGAATTTTCCACAAAACATTTTGAAGCCCCTTTTGTACATTTATTTAGTTCTGCTACTGTTTCTGGACATGATCAAGAACTTTATCCCTATTTTAAAAATTCTATTACCAATAGAGTATTACCATTTGAGTATTTCAGCAATTATATAGTTACAAATTATATAGATGAACTTGAACAAAATGTTCTAGTTTAATTTTGACCTTTAAGTAATAGCTACAATTCTTTTATTCTTACTGTTGTATTTTGTCGGTCACTAGCCTTGTTTTACCTTCCTTTCCTTTCTCCGATGCTATCTCTCTATTGTGGGAGTTGTATCTATGTTTAATCTCTAGTTCAAAAGAAAGGGCAAAAGACTAAATACAAAGGAAACGGATCCTGATTACCATCAATATGTGTACATGAAGTGGAATGGAATTTGTACTGCTTCATTAAGTCTGATAAAATGAAGTGAACACAATTCGGTTCTATTTTGTCAGATTTGTTTTAATAGTGTTTTGGTTTTTTTTTAAAACCAGTGAGATAAAGATGTAAAAATTCTTGGCATCTAGCATCTTACTTAATTGGTTTTTTGAAAACTTTATTCTTTTGTTTAAATAATTTATTATATTTAAACTTTCCAGTGTCCTTCTGAGGTGAAGGACTTTGAACTAAAATTGTATTTCATTAAAGTGGCATGAAGTGAAATGTGACTATCTTTAGCTAATCCGATCTTGTAGATTTATTTTGTCAAACCCCACATTAGATAATTTAGCAGAAGAGGAGTCATATCCTTTGCCTTACAATAAAAGTAAAACCTCTCACTAATTCAGAATTTATGATAATTCAGATGCAGTGTTTGTAATATTTTTTCCAGTAAAAATTCAACATAATTTCTTCCTCTGTGAATTTCCAGGGTCATACTTATAAGGGGAAACCCGTCTAAAATCACTAGCTTTTCAAACCAAGGGCTCAAGAAATGAAGGATTCCTTCAGCGTGCCTTCAACCTCTGGGTCCAGCAGTTAATTCTTGTATGTTAAAGGACTTTTATGTTTATGATACATATTTATGTAACATAGGTCTATTTTGGATTATATAGGTAACCACATTTATTATAGCAATGAATTTAATCTATAATCTTGTACTGTTTGAAGGTAATTAAACTGAATATTTACATAAATGTTCTATGATTTAAGACTTGCTCAGTAAGTCACCTGAACCAGTCCATTCTGTGTTATTCCGAATTAGTGAGGTTTTACTGTCCTAGTATTAAGAAGGTTTTAAAGCTTTTCAAACTTAAAATAGAGAGGCATTGAGTTATGGGAAGAGAAATCATACTTTAGGTCAATTTTGTCTTCAGTGGATATTACCAGAAGTTAGAAAGATATGATGTAAAACAAAAAGATAAAGTGAACATAAAATGATCTGATATGTTATTTTGCTTCACATTCTACAATGGACCGAGACAATAGGAACTAAATTAAAAGTGTGTCTGTAGATTCACACATGTATCTGCACATTAAACACACTTCCTTTGTAGAGTTGGTAGGTAACAGATCAAGAGAATGATGTAGACTAATTGACCTTTTGAAATGCCTTTCAAATTTACATTTATTCTCTGTGTAAGAAATTCGTGTTTTGAGGGTACAGAGATCATACATAAGTGATGTATCATTTTAAGGTTGGGGAAAGTAAGTTACTCCCCATATTTACACATTCAAGATGGAAGTTTTTATAAATTCAAGAATGTGGCTTTTAGTGGTTTCCTGACACTGCCACGGTGAAATGAAGAAGCTAGCATATGCAGGGCGCAGAGTGGGCTTAAAGCCAAGGTGATGGAGGAAACTCGGCCAGGCAAAGAGGAGGAAAGACGTGCAGAGACAAGATGTTTGGTTGAAGGTAGTCAGTGGTTGCAGGCAGGACGAAGACCTCAGCGCACACAGGCTGAGGGTCAAGGTGGAACAGGGAAAGGTAAGGGGGAGTAGATCTCTGACTTCTGTGCAGTATATAAAGCTTTGGGTCTTTATAACATTTTAAAGAATAATCAACTTTAGGCAGACAGCGTAGACTTCTAAGATCTGTTTGGAAAAGCTAAGTCACTGTGAGTCAACTAAGAATTTTTTTTAATGGTAGTACTAACAGTATAAGTTTAAAATAATTGTTTAATAACTGCATGCAGTTGTTTTTTATGCAAACTAAGTTTCCCCACATAAACTGTCATAGTTTAAATTTTTGTTATTCCTATAAGTTTAACGATTGATCCATTTATATCACATATATAACTGATGAGCTTAATAGGTTTTGTCCCTAACCAGATCTTCTCTCTGTTTTTATTGATTTAGCAATATTTGCAAGCGCAAGTATACAGTATATCTTTTCAAAATTGCTTCCTTGCAGGTAGTCTTGATCTATCACTTCTAACAGCTGCAGATTCTTCTTGCTTGTACCTTTTAACACGTTTCTCTGGTTCTTCCTTGGTAAAACTGATCTGAAATTTAACCTTAAAGATGAATAATGGCTTAATTACAAATTGTAACCCTTGCAGATGGGAGTGGAGAACGAGGAGAGAAGGATGCAAGCAAAATCACCACGTACCCTCCTGGCTCAGTGCGGTTTGACTGCGAGCTCCGGGCCATGCAAGTCAGCTGTGGATTTCACCATTCAGGTAGCACTTTGGACTTTTGGGTGTAACTGCCATTTTTATAGTTGTGGTTCATAATTGTTTAATTTTAATGATTGTAGTCTGATAACTGAGCCAAAAGCTATCTATTTTATGGCAGTATTTCCTAAATCTATAAAGCGTTATGTGCACTCTATAATCTCTTAAAAACTATGGATTGAGGTACAGGTATTTGACCAGAGATCTGACTTCTGATTCTCTTTGCTAACTTAATTTAGAACTGGGTTTAAATTCAGTTCGAGAAACTACTGAAGATGAAGTGATTCCTGAAGTCCCTTTCATCTCTATAATTGTGTGATTTTTATGCCATGGCTTATATTGGAGCGTTGCATCAAAGAATTTATTTTTCTTAAATGTGGAAAAGAAGCAAATAGTTAACATTTGGGTTTTAGCTTACATTGCATTATTTAACCATTATGAGACTAAAAATGAGTTAACGTTCTTTTTTGATACTTAATAGATTTCCTTATTTGATAATGCCTTGATAGATATTTAAAATTCTGACACATTTCATTGATGCTCTACATAATTGTGCAGCACACAAACCTATCTGAATCAGTATGCCAAATGAATATTAGTGTTGTTATTAACTAACATGTAATAGTTTTTAAATACTCACGAAAAAATATGCTTTTTTGACATGCAAAGATTATTTTTCTAGGGAAAAATTGTTTCATTAAATATGATGTCTCTTAAAAAATATGTCTCTTTAAATTTTAAATTGTAACAGTAGCACAGCTTTTAGTATTGTTGGGGTAGACCTTGGGCATCTAATGAGAATAAAGCGATGTATTCTGGTTTCAGTGGTTCTAATGGAAAATGGAGATGTCTACACATTTGGATATGGGCAGCACGGGCAGCTAGGACACGGAGATGTCAATTCCAGGTACTCTTACTTCCTGTTTGACGAGATTGAGTTGTGTGTTTTTTTTTCTTTTTTCTTTTTCTCTCTTCATTTTGCCTCTTTCTAGACTCAAAGTAGTTTTACCACATGTGGCCCATGAATTACTAGTGATTACTAATGATTCCTGACTTTGTGGTTGCGTGCTTTCAATGGGGCAGATGAATGTGAAGTTTCAGGAGAAAAGAAAAAGGGTTTTCATTTTCTACTAACAAACCTGAGTGTCAAAAAAAAACCCCCCCAAAAAACCAAACCCCAAAACCCCGAGTCTCCTGGATGTTCAGAGAGTTCATTCTTTCAATAGTAACAGACATTGGGCATTCAAGTCCTCCCGGAGGGGGCTCAGAAGGCAGTTCAGACAACCTTCCTCTGAAAACCATCTTGGGTACAGTTTTACCGTCACAGAGGAGAGTGCTAGGCCAGAATTTGCCTATATTTCATACGTCACTTGGTTTTAGAGCTCTCATTGGGGTCTGACCATGCAGGTGAAGGCTTTATAGTTGAGCCTGGGTTGCTGCAAAGAATGTTCTGTGCATTCCAGTGATGATGTGTGTAACATTGGAACCAGACATTTTCTTCCACTTGTCTTTTCCCTGCCCTTGCTTACTTGGCAGAATACGTGCATGCCGAAGGAGCTTGTAGACATCATCGAGGACACTCTGAGTGGAGATCATGTACTGAGAATACCAAAGCTCTGAGAGAAAAATACTTTTGGTTCGTGATACCATAGACCTGCCACATCAGCTCCCTTTAATTGGACTCATCTTACAGGAGTGAGAAATAAGCTTCTCTCGTTGAAGATCCTGTTACATGACTTACTATGATAGCAGCTGGGTCTTTTTTCAACCTGACACAGTCAAGGTGCTTTTGGTCAAAAGTAACACAGAATCCATTGTGATTAGTTTAAGTCGTCTGGCAAGAAGACTTAAGATTCGAAATGAAAGTGGTTTGTTGGGAAGGCACTCCCATGCACAATAAAGGGAGAAGAAGCAGGAACCAGTAAGGAGGCCTTTCAGGCACCATTGGGTTCCTACTGACCTGTGCAGGAAGAGAAGAAAGGGCTGGCTCGGAAGAATCACTGGACTGTGGTATAGTTCTGAGCATGTCAGCTTGATGCGGTGTCCTGAAGCCAAGGTTGCCCAGAAAGATCCATGCTTTAGGAAAGAATGGGCCACCAGGAATGCCTTTGCCAGGCTGGGTCACAGACAGCGTTCCTGGGAAGACTGACCGCATAGATCCAAAAAGGCAGCATCCAGGGCTGTTAGTCGACTGTGCTCCCTGCAGTAGGTGTCAGGACTGATTCACGTCTGTGGCTACCCTACCATTTTAAGTACCAGGGGCCAGATTTGACTCAGCATCTCAGTTCGCCACATGAACCCAATTTCTTTTCAATTCTCCCTTCTGTCTTAATCTCTTTGTTGTCACAAGGTGCTGCTAGAATCAGCTGGACTATATGGTCTCGCATTACAGTGAAAGAAACAAGGATTCCCTCCACCTAATCATTACAGTCCAGAAGTTCGGCTTTATTTTGGGTGTACCTTGTCAAGGTTAAGGAGCCCTGGTAGTGTGGTGGGTTATGCGTTGGGCTGGTAATCACAAGGTCAGCAGTTTGAAACCACCAGCTGCTCCTTGTGAGAAAGATATGTCTGTCTACCCCCATGAAGAGCTACAGCCTAAGAAGTCCACAAAAACATTTCCACACTGCCCTGTAGAGTCGCTGTGAGTCATAATTGACCAGATGGCAGCGAGGTTTGTTTTTTTGTTTTTTGGCTTGTTAAGAACAGAGTTAGGCTGTTTGGTAAAGATCAATTATTTTTAACCCCTGGCTGCACATTATAACCACCTGGGTAGTTTTTTAAACTACTAGGTCTGGATTCTACACTTAGAATATGTAAAAGCAGTGGTGGGGTGGTGATTTTGTGTGTGTGTGTGTGTGTGTGTGTGTGTGTTGGGGGCGGAGCACAGAGTGAAGCTGTCATTCTGTTTGGTGGTGGTGGTGGTTGACAGTAAGATTCCCAGAGTGTCATGTGCATCCAGGATTAAGATCCACTGCCTGTCCCTACAGCTGTGGCAAGGTTAGCTCATTTACACAGCTTAAAAATGGGGATGGAATGGAATGTCCTACATTATCTTGACAGATTTTGTTGTTGTGAGAAGAGACAAATGAGGTATCGAGTTGAGCTTTTTCATTGTAACCTAAGTGTAGCATATAATTCCCACTGTTACCAAACAGTTTGTAAAACTGTTCCCATTCTTAATATCACTGTGGGATGTACCATCGCAGCAGTGGCCTGTGGAGCCACCCACTGCCCCATGTGTAAGAGGCCAACCGATCTTTTCACTAGGG